TCATTATGGAATATGGAATAAACTGTAGCTACATGAAATATATAAACAGATAAAAATGATCTGGAAAATAGACACTCAAGGACATCCAAAATTTTCATAGCTTTGTTCCAGAAAATTAAAGTATCCCAGGAATGCAGCTGTGGTCCTTAGCTATAAACAGAAGAGCATCAAGGAGCTGTCTCTTGGCTTGTGTCCTGGGTTTGTGATGTATGACATTCTGTACAGGTTCCCTTGGAACGTCTCTTGCCTATGTGTTGGTATCGAAGCCCCACAGGGTGTCATCAGAGATTTGTTCCACAGTCTGCACCCTGGTAAAACTAAAAGGACTTTCTCTAGATAAGCAGACCGTGCCTTCACCGTTGGGTAATTTTCAGATTTGTACCAATTTCACAGACTTCACAGATTGCATAGAGTTGGAAAGTTCTTGTCTTGAATCCTCAAGCCACCTGACAGATGGGAAAAAGCCAAGAGTAGCACCAGCCAATCTGTACTCAGTATCCCCTGGGTCCATACCAGGGTCTCTGATCTGTCTGACTCACACGGCTAGTGAGTGGATGCTGCTGATGGATGTTTAATATCAGTTATTATCTGTCATGGAAATATCTAGCATTAAATGATGGTGCTCACAAGGAGCACAGGTTTTTGTCAAGTCTTTTTCTTAGCCTTGACATGTTCTTTTAGAGAAAATCGTGAGTTGTGGCCTGATGCCATCTCCCTTCAGGATCACTCTGTACTATGTGCAAAGAACTGTCCTATAAATTCTCTTTCCTGTTCTATGATCCTGTAGTAGACACAGTGTTTTCAGAGCCCTGAGTCTGACTTGCCTGAACCTGTCTCACATTAAACACTGTTTGCTCTTTACTGATCAGAAGCAGTAAATGGAATGGGGGCTCCCTGGGAACCAGGCCCACTAACACATGTGGTGATATATTATTTATGATTTATGAAAGCTTACCTGAGGATTCAGAAAACAAAGCCAGCCACAGCTATAGAGGTCAGGCAGTGGTGATAAACACCTTTAATCCCAGCAGTCATACTAGCTAGCCAGTGGTGGCACACACCTTTTTTTTTTTTTTATGCAAACTGCACGAGGCTTTATTATAGTTGTTTAATGAGCTAACCCCATGTTAGCTCAGGCCTTCCATCCATCCACCATGGCGGATGGCTAGGAAAGACATCTGGAACTGTCTGCATAGAGATCTTATAGGGCAGCATAAGGGGAGTGTCTAGGGGTACGCACAGGTTCAGGATTGGTGTGCCTCCAGGCTTGGAGGGTTTGCCCTGAGTTGATTGGTCAACTGGTTGTTATGGCCCATAGGCCTTCCAAGGGTGGTTGCTATGCTCTGCACGTCATTGCTATGCACTTGTCTGTAAAGCACACCCAGAGCCGTAAAGCATAGCACCACCAGCTAACTTCTGATTGGTTCCTGGTGGCACACACCTTTAATCCCAGGACTCAGGAGAAAGGCAGATGGATCACTCTGAGTTCAAGGCCACCCTGGCCTACAAAAGAGGGAAGAGTAACAGAGCTCACACCTTTGATACCAGCACTTGGGATCAAACACCTTTAAGCCCAACACTAGGCAGGTGAAGACAGGAGTTATATGGCTGAGCAGAGAATGGAATAAGAGGAGGAGGAGACAGGAACTGAGAGCTTTTGCCTCTGAGGATTCATGGACACAGGATTGCCATTTTATGTTGGTACAGGTTAAGATCTACTGGCTTGACTGCTTTGCTTCTCTGGTCTTCGGCTTGAAGGCTGAACCCCAGTATCAGACTCTGGGTCATTTATTTTTCATGTTACAAACACAGACCCTTTATATCAGTAGGGAGACAGACTAGGCCATAGTCCTCTGCATGAGCCACCCCCATCTTCGCTTTATTCTGACAGGGTCCATTGTGTGAAAGTGCAGAGATTACTCCAGGCTTCTTTGCCAAAACTAAGTATTGTTGCCAATTTGAGCCTATGAAGCCTGGTATGTGTTTTAGCATGAAACAATAAAAACGGGTTTATTTTTATTTAACCATCCTCTCTACCAGGCCTGCTTTTTTTCAGCTGTTGGTTGATCACAAATTAAATGATGACATGGAGCATTTGATTTTTTCCCCAAGAGGTCCAACTCCTAGCAACTACTCTGAGCATCCATAGTGATTTTGTGAAAGTGCTTAGGGACAGGGACATGATGAATTCATCTCTGTAAAGAAAGTCCTGGTATGGGCAGCCATGTGGGCTCAAAAGGGCTATGGGGCCTTGGGAAGGTCACTTGTATTTCTGTGGCTTAGGCCTCTTTTATGAAATGTTCATCAGGAAGAAATATTAAGGATTGAATAGCTCAAAATATGTAGAACACTTTGAGCTTGTTAGTGTTGGGCCATTAAAATGGCTCAGTCGGTAAAAGACACTTGCTGTGCAAGCCTGTTATTTAAGTTCCCTCCCTGTAACCCATGATAAGAGGGAAACTGACTCCCAAAAGTTGTCCTCTGATCTTCAAATATATCCCATGGTACACACAAGCCATGAGTGAACATACAATGCAATACATAATAGTAATTAACACAATTTTTTTTTTGAAATCAGTGTTTTACCCCCTCAGAGTGTTTGCTACATCTACATACCAGCTATGCTAGTAACTTTATTTTGAATGATAGAAATTGTCCTGATTTAGTCCTCCAAGCTCTGGTATTACAGGTGTGAACTATCATGCCTATTTGACGGACTCAATTTTCATGTAGAATTTAATTTTAAAAGAAACTTTACAGGTCTGGAGAAATGGTTCAACAATTAAAACATTGGCTCTTACAGAGGACCCAGGTTCATTTCCCAGTACTCACATGGGAGCTCACAACCATCTGTAACACCATTTCCAGAGGATATGATGCCTTCTGGCTTCTATGGGCATCAGACATACAAATAATCACAGACATAAATGCAGGCAAAACACTCATACACATAAAATAATTTTCTTTTTAATTTTAAAAGAAAGTTTACATCTAACTGGAGAAATGGCTATGAAACTTTATGTCCCAACTATAAATAGAAATTAGTACTATTTGCTACAAATATAAGCTAGCCATTGTCTCAGGATTTCTATTGCTATGAACTGTTATCAAGGAAAACACTCAATGGGTGGCTTACAGTTTCAGGGGTTTAGTTCATTATCATGGCAGGACATGTCAACATGCAAGCAGACATGGTGCTAGAGAAGGAGCTGAGAGTTCTTACAATTTAACTCACAGGCAACAGGTAGTGAGTGGTCTGTTTCCCTGGGCATGGATTAAGCATATGAGAACTCAAAGCCTGCCTCCACAGTGACACTTCCTCTAGTGCCACTCCCTTTGGGGTCATTTTCTTTCAAACCACCACAGCCATAAATTATCAATAATTTATTTACATTCTTCCCCCACCCCCACCCCCCACCCTGCTCACAGAAGTCAGGTAGTGGTAGCACACTCTTTTAATTCCAGCACTTGGGAAGCAGAGGCAGGCAAATCTCTGCATTTGAGGCTAGCCTGGTCCACAGAGCGAGTTCCAGGACAGCCAGGTCTACACAGAGAAAACTTGTCTCAAAAACACACAAAAAAGGAAGGAAGAAGGAAGGAAGGAAGGAAGGAAGGAAGGAAGGAAGGAAGGAAGGAAAGGAAGGAAGGAAGGAAGGAAGGAAGGGTTTTTTAATGCTTAATGCTACTTGCTCAGCACAGTGCTACATGACTTGTTATTACCTCACACCCCTTTAAGGTCAATGCTATCACCACTCCCTTTATCCATGAGGAACTGAGACACAGGAGGTGGCAAAACTGCCTACAGACGCACAACCTGTTAATAGGTGTTTGGGCTCTTCTGCTCTGTGCTGTTGACAAGAACTAGATGACATACTTAATTCATAGTTGCCACACTAGCCAACTCGAGATGGTGTACAAATTAGCACAAACTCAGTGTCTTGAAACAATAGAAACTAGTTCTGTCACATTTCTAGAGGGTGAAGTCCAAACACAGGATATTGGCAGGACCAAGTTTCCTCCACACCTCTGGGGGTGGATTCTCCCTTGCCTCTTCCAGCTTCAGCATCCCTAAGCAGTCCTTGCCTGGTAGCATCATCACTCCAATGTCCACCACAGTCTTCACATGACTTCACATGTGTCTCTACCCCTACCTCTTTAAAGAGCACCTATCATGCTTAGATTTAGATTAGGGCTGACCCTGGTAACCACATCTTAATTTCACCACATTTGCAAAGCCTCCAGATAAGGTCTTCTTCACAGGTACCAGGGGTTGGGCTGCAATGTATTTTTTGTGGAGTATAGGAGAAGCAGGAAACAATTTTTATTTATTTATCTTTATTTTGGTTTTTCAAGACAGGGTTTCTCTGTGGCTTTGGAGGTTGTCCTGGAACTAGCTCTTGTAGACCAGGCTGGTCTCGACCTCAAAGATCTGCCTGCCTCTGCCTCCTGAGTGCTGGAATTAAAGATGTGCACCACCACTGCCTGGCAAGAGGATTTTTTATTTTTTTTTAGCTTTTGAGACAGGGTTTTTCTGTATTGTTTTGGAGACTGTCCTGGAACTCACTCTGTAGACCAGGCTGGCCTTGCAGGAAACAATTTAACCCATGATGTTCACACAATTATGAGTTTTGAGCCTGGGACAAAGAGACTGCAAGTGTGGAAGAAGAGTTCAAGATTAGCACTGACTTCAGACTTTCTTCTTATGCACCTAAGACAGAATGAGTTGGGCCAGGGAAAGGGCAATGGATTACTATTTCAAAGATACTGGTGCCTAGCTAATCATGCCCAGCCCATCACTGATACTTTGGGGAAATTTTCCAGTCTCACAGGCACCTCTCAGGAAAGGACGGCATCAGAAAACTAGGAGAAAAGTCAACCTCCCAAAACCCTGGGGGAAAGGAGTACATATTACTCACCTCTAGAAGGTACTATGCATGGCTAGACCAAAATAGCAAAATCAGAAAATACTCAAGACCTCAGGGGAATCATAACACAGCAGAGACAGTAATGAGCAAATCATTTATTCTCCTATTCCAGTGAAAACCTATAGGAATAAAAAACCGTCTAAGACAGGTATAAGAGGAAGGTATAGAAGAGTGAAGGCAGGAGGAGTGCTATCAAACCAGGGTATCCTTGGGTGCTTGGACTGCACAGATTTCGTAGAGTTGGGAGGTTCTTATCTTGAGTTCTCGGGCCACCTGACAGACAGAGAAAGGCCAGCAGCAATGCACCACCATCCAGTCTTCACAGAGTGTCCCCTAGGGCAAGATCAAATTATACAGGTCCATTTCTGTTTCTCAAGGACCTGTGTAGTGTTACTGGCTGAACTATCCCACCCTCCACTTCCAAGATCCACCAAACACTTAAGTCAACATTTAGGCTATAGCTATCCAAGTATCAAGCAATAGCTGGTTAATATCTACAGTTTAGAGCCCTGCCCGTTCAAGTTTTGACATGTGCCTCTTACTGAAAACTCCAATTTTTCGTTTTAGTTGTCTCTTAGAATCATTAATTTATTTTTTTTGTAGTAGGTTATGAAAGGAAAATATTGGCTCAGGACCCCAAAACCAAGTTCTCAGCACTAAGTTTATTTGTCCCAGAGGGACAGAGGGCAGGGAATAAGAGCAAACACAGAAGATAGAGGACCAGGGAGAAGGGGAAGGGAACAAGGGAAAGGGGGCAGGGATATTTGTTCCAAGCAGAGGAAGACAAAGGACTGCCACTGGACAGGGAGGAGGCAGACATGGCACATGAGAAAATGGCACCTTCTAGTATCCACTTATAAGTGAGTACATACCATGTCTGGGTCTGAGTTACCTCACTCAGGATGATTTTTTCCAGTTCCATCCATTAGACCCCTAGCAATAGTGGACAGGGTGCCTCAACTGGCCTCCTGTATTCAGATTGGTGATTACCCTAACTGTCATCATAGAGCCTTCATCCAGTAACTGATAGAAGCAGATGTAGAGATCAACAGCTAAAACTGGGCTGAGCTCTGGGAGTCCAATTGAAGAGAGGGAACAAGGATTGTACAAATAAGGGGATGGAGTCAAGATCATGACAGGAAAACACACAGAGGCAGCTAACCTAAGTTTATAGGAGCTCAAGGATTCTGGACTGACAGCTAGGGAGCCCTGCATGGGACCAACCTAGACCTTCTGTATGTATGTGACAGTTATGTAGTTTGATCTGTTTGTGGGAACCCTAGCAGTGGGATCAGGACCTGTCGCTGGCACATGAGCTAGTTTTTTGGAACCTATTCCACATGCTGGGATGCCTCGCCCAGCCTTGATGCAGGAGGAGGAGCTTGGTCCTGCCTCATGCTTTGTTGACTCCCATGGGAGGCCTGCCCCTTTTGAACACAGGAGAAGTGGATAGGAAGAAACGAGGGAGGAGAAACTGTGGTTGATATGTAAAATAAATGAAAAAAATTAAATAAGCTTTTTTAAAAGAAAGAAAAATGGCAGCTTTTAAAGGTAAAAGGGAAACCCTGTTTTAGGATGAGGTGTTTAATTTTAATTGGGCATGTTAATTAGGTGAGCCAAAGGGGGCTTTTGATTGTTGAACTTCAATACTTCCATAGTTGAACCTTGGTAGTCAGTCTCAGGAGGAAGAAGTGACCAAATAAGGGAATAGACCTTGGTGGCTAGCTTTAGGAATGTAATCTTAATGGCTTTTAGCAAGGCAGAGGGAATCGGGGAGAAGGGCAAAGCCTATCAGAGCTACATGCTCAGTGGGCTAATGTCCCTTCAGGTAATAAACTAATGGTCCCAAATATCCATAGTAAAAAGGTATGGGAAGTAAAAAGAAACTTCTCCCTTCTTCTTCTCCAGAGCTGTCCCCAGCCACCCTACTACCTGCCTGGAGACAATCATTGGTTACCAGTTACATTTCCAGGAAAACTTTTATCAGACACACATATAATCCTTATATGTGAAGAGTTACACAAGTCTGACTCTTGTTCACATAAAAAGATATTGTAGAGATCATCCCACCAAATACCTACATACTATGAGAGAGAGAAAGAGAGAGAGAGAGAGAGGAGGGAGAGAGAGAGAGAGAGAGAGAGAGAGAGAGAGAGAGAGAGTCTGTGTCTCTGTCTCTGTATGTCTGTGTGTCCAACCACATAAGTTTCCCCTTTGAAGATCTGTGTCTGTATGTGTTGTCACCCATCTCTCCTCACCATCTCACAGACTTCAGTCTTGTCTCTATTAGAAGTTAAGGACCACAAGAAATCCCCTGTCACATGGGCTACACTTTAAGTCAGACCTCACAAGTACTTCTTCCAAATTAGGTTTGATTCCACCTGCCATGTCTTGAAGTAATAAGAGACATATGTGTGGTTTTATTTTTGTAGATGGGAGGGGATAGTGGCTACAACCTCCTATTTCTATGCATCAAAGTATATCTCAGGAAGTGTAAGTTAGTCAATGATTTGACCAAACCTGTTGATCAACAGCCTGAATTATGATTTCTTCTTGGAAATATTATTCATTATACAGCATTTCCTTGAGTATAGAACCACTGAAAACTAGGAGTTAAGTAATAGCTTCTAGTAAATTAATGAAATCAGAACTTTCATTCCCCACCATTTTTTCATTAAAAGTGAGATTTTAAAGCATCTTTGCCAATATATACCTATATATTTCTTCTCTCCTCTCTCTCTCTCTCTCTCTCTCTCTCTCTCTCTCTCTCTTTCTCTCTCTCCCCCTCCCTCCCTCCCAATAACTTTGGGGAAACATAGGTTGAAAAAGCATCCTAGTTCTCCTAAAGATTTAGACTCATACATGCCTCAATTGCCCTTACCTGTATCTTATGTCTCTCTCTGGTGCCAATTCTCAATGCAAAGGTAGACCCTGGTAACAGTGGCCAACAAAGACACTCTCCATAATGCCTGGCAATGTCACACTCCAGACATATGGGACAAAAGAGACCACAGAAACCTGTCAATTGCACATAAAAGAAAGCCAGTGTTCTCAGATATTCAGGGGACAACTTCACATTTTATATTTTCATATTTTAAATAGTTTTACAACCCTGTGCCACCAATTCAACACTGTATTGTCTGCCTGCAACCAGGGACAAAGAATGAATAAACAATTCTCAAAACTCAGAGCTAGAGAATTGCCATTACCTGGCCACATCAAACTTGTGTTCTTTTGTTAAATATTGCCAAAGCTGAGCCTGACACAATTCTGTTAGCATTGATTATGGTAACTGTGTTTTTTTCTGTCAAAAATGTTAAGTAATTTTTGAATCATAACTGAATTTGTTATGTTCTGTCCAATTTCATTACTTAACATGGACCTAGAAAACTAGAAGATCCTTTAATAGCAGATATCCCTTTCCATAAAAATGATAGAAAGCCTTTTGGGTATACACTGACTCTGTCTCCTATTCTTACCAGGGTTTTATTCTCTTTCTCAGATCAGAGGCTATTCTAATTTTTGTTGGCTTCACAGAACCACTGACATTTGTCCATTTTAATCTGTAAACTATTAGGTGACTGGACCCTTGAGTGCCAACTGGAAATGGTTTCTACTTATTACTTCATTCACCATTAACTACTGATACGGATTGTTACACAGACTGAGTGGACTCTCTAACACGGATTCTCATCTAAAGACGTTTGAGGCCACAGAGCCTTTTGAGAATATAATGGCTGTTATGAAGTTGCTCCAGAAGGAAAAAGGAAATATATGCATATGGGCAGGCAAATTGTGCATTCCCTTTCGTGGAGTTCATGCAGCCATTGGAAACTATTAGCAGGCCACAAGTTAAGAGCTCCTGACACACAGTTAAGACGTTCTATCACCTAAAACTGCAAAGAGATGACAACCCTGATGACTTCAAATAATTAGGACTATGAACCAACAAAAATATCATGATAACCAGTCTTTGGAAACATACTGTCTTATTTAGGGTTGTAATTGCTGTGATAAAACACCATGACCAAAGCAACTTGGGAAGGAAAGGGTTTATTTGGCTTATGTTTCTAAATGTTCATCATTGAAGGAAGTCAGGAAAAGAACTAAACTAGGACAGGAAACTGGAGGCAGGAGCTGATGCAAAGGCCATGAGAGGGATGCTTCTTACTGGCTTGCTCCCCGTGGCTTGCTCAGCCTGATTTCTTTCCTTTCTTTCTTTCTTTCTTTCTCCACTCCCCAGGCTGGGTAGGGCCCTCAACCGGGACTCCCCAAAGTCCACCACATCATCCTGGGCCAGGCCTAGGCCATCCCCCATGTGTCCAGGCCGAGACATGGGATGGGCTCTCAAAGTCCCTTCTGACACCAGGGAAAAATACTAATCCACTACCACAGGCCCCCTACAGTGCAGAGGCCTCCTCATTGACATCCATGTTCGGGGGTCTGGATCAGTCCCGTGCTGGCCTCCCAGACAGTAGTCTGGGATCCATGTACTCCCCCTTGTTCAGGCCAGCTGTTTCTATGGGTTTCACCAGCCTGATACGGACCCCATTGATCTTCATTGCTCCCTCTCTGCAACTAGGTTCCAGAGTTCAGTTGAGTGTATATCTGTGGGTGTCTCCCTATTCAGCCTGATTTCTTATAGAACCCAGAACCACCAGCCCAGGGATGGCACCATTCATAATAGGCTGGGCCCTTCCTCATCAATCACTAATTAAGAAAATGCCCTACAGGTCTGCCTACAGCCCAATCATATAGAGGTATTTTCTTAATTGAGGTCCCCTCCTCTCAGATGATTTTAGCACCTGTCAAGTTGACACAAAAATATGCAGCATACATGCTAAACATTTTAATCAAGGGTAATTTTATATATGAAAATGCACAAATCTTAAGTATTCACTTTGAGTAACATTAATAATTGCATTTACCTATATAACAGCCCACCCCTATTCCTGAAGGAAACACAGCCATGACTTCTTTTCATAAGTAAATTTTGCCCCCTCTCAGCCCTCATCTCAAGGGAATCACACTTACTTTTATAACTGTTTTATTTTTGTGCAATATCATGAGGTATTTTTGGGTTAGTCATGTTGTTATATGAAACTATAGTTATTACTGTTGAGTAATTATCAGTTCATTGTATGAATATTCTACAAACTATTCTCCCACTAATAGGCATTTTATTGTTCCATTTTTTATATTAATACCACTATTCACACTTACACATAAGTCTTTATATGGACATACCTCCAAGTCCATGTGTAGGTATATGTCTTCATTTTATTTGAGTCATTTACTGAGAGTGAAATTGCTAGGTCACATGTTTAATTCTACAAATACAGAGAAATATTTCTGCAAAGCATTTGTACCATTCCATACCCTCTATGACAACATTCAAGACTTCTGATGGCTTGACATTGTTGCCAACATGTGCTATTGTCAAATTTTTATTTTAGCCATTGTAGCATGTGTGATATGTTAGGCACCACAGCTTCTGGTACACCAAATACAAGGGTATGGTAGGTACCATGTAGCTGAAAGAAAACTAAATGGAGCCCAAAGTAATTCTGAGACCTTTTATCTTGAATTTAAAAAAAAAAAAAATCCTGACACCCCAGGGATATGGCTCCACGGTAGTGTTCTTACATAGACTGCACAAGATCAGTCCCCAGCACTAAAGAATAATTCCCAAGCAGAACAGGAGACTCTACCCAGTACTGACAACTAATCTGAACAACTTGGAAAACAGCAAAAAGCCTAGCAAATTTGCAGCAAGCATAGAGGGCTGCCAGCATCTGCAACATTGAATTAGGGCAATTTGAAATCAATGGCACAGTCTATGAAAATTATGAAATACTGTAAATTCCCACAAATAAAGCAATTAATAAAAATTTGCCTAATTGTAAAGCTGGCAAATTATGCAACTGATCAATCCTGTTTACACATCTCTGAGCTGTATTGCACCCTGGAAAGTTGATTGTGCCTCAGCATTTCTGCATCATGTTAGGACCCACATGCTGGGTTTTTGGTGGTGGATTGGTGGGTTGGTTGGTTGGTTTTTAATCTTTCTGTCAGATAACCATGTAAGTGTGCTTTTTAGATATTTATCTTACTTTTCTACTGAGGTGACAAAACACCATGATGGAAGTAACCTCTAAAAGAAAGCATTTAATTGGGGGCTCATGGTTCCATAGGGTTAGAGTCCATGCCCAGCATGGTAGTGAGCATGACAGCAGGTGAACATGGTGCTAGAGCAGCAGCTGAGAGCTCACATATGATCCACAGCAAGATGCAGAGAAAGAGCTAACGAGGAAGGATGTGGGCTTTTGAAACCTCAAAGCCTACCCTTTGAAAAAAAAAAAGTGACACTACCTCCATCAAGGCCACACCTCATAATCCTTCCCAAACAGTTCCACCATCTGGGGGGCAAGCATTAAAACATATGAGCCTATGAGGAACAGTCTCATTCAAATCACAATACTCAAATCCAATCACTTTGAAACAAAAGTCAGCTGTGGTTTTTAAAAAATTTTATGAAGCCCAAACTTTTATTTCACAATAGCTAATGTTTATAAAGAGTTCACCATGTGTCAAGCTCTTGTTGAAAACATTTTGTAATATGAGTTCATTTAATCTTTGAAATAATCATATAAATTAGGCATTTTTAAGGCCTACATGATAGCCTGCCCCATAACCCCAGTACTTGTGGGACTGAGACAATAGGATCATGAGTTCAAGGACAGCCTGGGATTCACAGGAAATTCTAGAACAGCTTGTGCTTACTAGGACCCTATCTCAGAAAACTAATCAATGAATAAAATAGGTCCTCTTACTAGCCTTATTTTATAATTAGTTCACCTAATCTCCAGAAGAACTAAGTCATTGCCCCTAAGTTTATAACATTGTTATTGAAGGGCAGAGGTCAGATTTGAACTCCAGGAGTCTGGCCCCAAAGTCCTAGTACTATACCTATGTCCATATGTTCTCACATTTTAAATTTCTATCCTATCATAATTAATGCAAAAGAGTTTGTGTATTCTAGGACTGTATGCCCATTAGATTTATCCCTGTGGGATGGTCTGAACTCATTTGAATGTTTTAAGCCACAGAGAAACCCTGTCTTGGAGAAAAAAAAAAAAAAAGGACCCTCTGAGTCAAGTGTCACTCTTCTGCATAATGAGGAGCATCGTTGGAGATGAGAACTCTCAGACTAGACCCACAGGAAGGGATGCATAAGATTTGAAAGGAGGGATCCTTTTCCTGAAGGGTTAGACTTTGCAGTGACATCAGAGGCCAGGGTAAGCATGTAGAATATGGGCGGCACTCTCATAAATCCACATATAAGAGAAAACAGAAGAGAAGAAAATAGCACAAGGCATGAATGGGTAGCTTGCTGAAAAGGAAATACCAATGGCCAACAATAATTATAATTATTAATTATATCATTAGATATATTATAATTATTAATTATATCATTAGAAAGGCATATGAATACTATCAGAAACCACATGCTACTCACAAGAATGCCCCATTTTTAATATGTTTGGGGACATAAAGTAACAATACATGGATGTGGGAATTGGCCTAACCACAGTAGATAACTTTGTCAATCGATTAAGACTTAAAATGCTCTAGGAATGAATAATTTCACTGATCAGTGCCTAGAGTAATGCTTGTGCAACTGCAAAAAAAAGGCACCTGCAAGGACAGTCATTGTAACATGTCTGTATCACAAAATTTGCAAATGTAAATGTATGTCAGTAGGCTGAAGAACAAGTAAAGCATGAGTGTGTAACCACTAAGAATGTGGGAAAAGGACTGAAGAGATGGCTCGGGGGTTAAGAATGCTTACTGTGCAACCATGAGAACCTGGGTTTGGATCCCAGCACCCACTAACAAGCCAGCATGCACACCTGAAATGCCAGGACTGTGAAAGACAAAGACAAGAGGAGTGGTGGGGCTTCATGGTTGCCAGTTTAGCTCTAGGTTCAATGAAAGAACCAGTTTCAAAGGAGCATAAAATGGAGCATAATAGAGGAGGATATCAGATGCCCTCCTCTGGCCTCTGTCCATGCACACTGGTACCCA